GCAACTTCCAGGATTGCTCCACGCCCATGTGTAGCGCCTGCCGTCTCGCGGATGACACAAAAGCGCGCGGGAGGCCATTCCTCCCGCTGTCATTCCGCTGAGAGATTTTAGAAAACCAACAAGAAATCACGACTCTCACAGTGATTTGGGCTCGGCAGCTTGTCAGCCAGCCTCAGCCGAAGCTGGGGCCGGTCCCGTAGCCGAGAGAGCCCGCGCCGATGAGTTCGACGCGGTCGGGGGGGCCTGCGGAGAGGCCAGCGAGATGGCGATCGCTGTACTTCATGATGTCATCCGCTGTCCGGCTGTGACCGAACCCTCTACCCTGCACGTGCTTGTTTTATCCATTTTTTATCCATTATCGTGATCAATCAATCCAGATTACTCGCTTAGTGTGGGTAAACCATAGTAGCGTGCACGCTACTATGAACAGAGAAACCCAAAACTAGCTGCGGCAGTCCACGCCGAGCCGGCCTGCTGCCGGCTCGCACGGCAGCCTCTTCCTCTCGACCAGCCTCAACTTCCGTACAGTCAACATTTTGTCGCTGCGTGCTCGTGGCGAGCTGTGGCGGCGGTCGAAGTTCGCCCAGATTCGGTGACGAGCGCCGGACGATAGTAGTGTCTCTGTTCGCCCTGTGCATGTCAGGCCAGGCTGCAGCAGGGCACTACCATCGTGCTGCCCTGCTGCAGCCTGACCTTGCCCACTGTGCACAGCCGCCAGAGCACCACCACCGCCCGGCATCGTGTCACGGCGAGCTCCTTCTGCGCCCGCTCGCGAGGCTCTCGCGCTGGCACACTTTGGCCATCTGCTGCTCGCGTTCGGCGAGCTCTTCTCCGCAATCCTGCCACGGTGCCGCCACCACACACCTTCTGGCCGGCCTGAGCCGCGCGGACTCGCCGGCGGGGGCAACGTGTCGACCTCTCTCTCTGGTGCACCACGGGCCGCGACGGCCTGCTAGCAGCCGGCGCGAGGAGGCAGTGTGCCGGCACAGTCGAGCGGGAGCATCGGGTTCTTGATGCTTGTGGGGTCGAGTTTGACCTTATGCGGCCTAATATACAACAATAATGCTATGCTCTCACCCAGCCTTTTGAGATATGATCCCTCAAAGTCGAATTATGGTTTACTGGTGACCATAGTAGCGTCTGTGCTGTTTGCGTTTCTTCAAACGAATACACTTTAAAGTCTCAACAATCACTAAGCTGCTTATGTGGCACCGCAGAGGCTCCCTTGGGGATGCCTGAGGCCACCCCAACCACTCACCAAGCCTTACGTGGACGAATTCCAACCTACTTTTATGGTTTACCCACACTAAGCGAGTACAAAAAATCGTTGCCTGTGGTTGCTGCGCCACGTTTTTCTCTTTCTCCCCGCTCATACGATTAGAACAGCTGTCAAGAAGAAAAGACTTTACACTAGCTCGGCTGCCTCACTACCTCGTCTGCACGTTACCATGTAGAGCAAGGTCGAGGGCGGGCCCTTTCCGCACCTCTGCGGGGCCTGCACTTGTCGCGCGCCTGCGACGATTCTCCCGGTCAAAATCTCAAGAAAAGAATTTACCCTTGGGCGCGCTCGCTCCTCGGCTGGCCTCACTACCTCGCATAGTTAGAGGCTGCGCAGGCCGTCCCGTTTGCTGTTTGAAACGCCTGTTGCGCTGCGCGCGCGCTGCCGGGGCTCTCTGTCTCACTCACGTGCCGCAATATGTGTCACACACGGCGGCTTCTGCCACCTCTCGATTGGTTCCACTTTCTCCGCACACCTACCGGGGAAGGGGCGCGTGGGAGCGGGGGCGGGGGCGGGGGCGGGGGTGGGGGCGGGGGCGCGCAGCGCGGGGCGCGCGCGCGCAACAGAGGGTA